TCCATGTATGTGTCGGAAGCTCTGAAGAGCTCAAATACTGGTAAGGAGCTTGGGTGGGTGGATGGGCCCTCCAGAGCACCGTACCGGAACGGTACCCAGTGCTCCCAGCAGGCACCAGTATGCCTGTGCCAGGGCATACCGATTGTAACCCACCACTGATGCTAATCTCTAATGCACTAGAAAAATCTTTGTTGTTGTTACAACAGATAAACCTGGCTAACCTCCTGAAATAAAAAGAGCATAGCATCATGTTTATCTACGAAGAAATGAATATAAATTAAAAGGAACTATAAAACCAAGATAGGAAGTCCACATCTTCACTCCGAGACCACTGCCAATTTATAGTCAATTATAAGCATGACAGGAAATTAAAGGTGTGTATTTTAAAAAAAACCTATTTTCAAGTTCCAGTCTATATAAATGTGCCCATTTAGTGTACAAAGTAGTATTTTAAATTTGTTTAAAAATGCAGTTTGTATACAGGAAACTCAATTAATTTATTTGGAACTAAGGGATTTCACCTTCTCCCTGTTCTACCAGACCATACACTATAACCAGTTTATCAGGAAGCAGCACTGCAGCCCATCAGTTTTATACTAAACTGTGTAGGATGAAACTGGCTAACATATATTTTTGTATTAAATAGTTAAAAAGAGATAGAAATGATTTCAGATGTCTAAAAATCATGAGCAAAAATATATGGCAGAAAGTAAGGAGAAAGCTTTAAAAGTCTCTGTGAGACTCTTTACATGTATGATCTTATCAGACATACTCAATTGTATACCCCCTTGCTACACACCCAATTGCATAAGTTTGCAAAGAGAACAAAGACTGCTATAAATACTCCAAAAAGCCAATAAAAAAATACTTAGGAGTGGTTAGTTCTCAGTGTAATGGGCCACAACAAAAGCTTTTATTGTTAAGAGAGTTACTTTACTAAGAGCTGTATGAAGAAAGCTGAATGAATGTGAAAAATTGCATGCAATAACCTGAGCTGAAAGATGATTATCAACTGTTGAGTTCTGAGCTTTTGAGTGAGCTGCTATGTTGTTAGATGACTGCTGTTGTGGTTAAAGAAAAGCTTGTTTTGTATTACGTTCCCACCTCCAGGAGTCCTGAAAGTCAATGTATGCTTTTCTCTGCCTTTGTACATTTATACATAATATCACTTGTAAAGTTTTAACAGCCTGATGCTGTAGTTCTGCCTTCCCTAAACTCTTAAAGTATTTATCTGCAGGGTGATTTTGAATTTCTAAATTCTTTCTGCACAAAACAGGAAGCCACAGCTACTATCTTGTAAGTACAATCTTGTATTGTACTTTAAATGCTTTATGAAATTGTGTATGCAAACTTACAGATAAATGAAGCTGAGAAAATCCATCACATTTTGCACCAAATTACAAGATGCTAGGGGCAACAAGAGAGGTGCTGATGGCTGGTGCATTGTCCATCATGAGTATGCATAGGATGCAGCATTATTTTAGTGAACAAAGGAATTGGAACATTTTCCTGTTTTTGTTTCCCCCCCACAAATGAAAGCTTACATAGAATGTAGTGTTGTGGGGTATGGTTAGAACCATCATCCTGCAGTTTTATAAAAAAAAGTATTTTAATGTTTTAATATGTGAATAAAAAAGTATTAAACCAAACAAAAGGAAAAAATAAAATTAAGAATAGAACCATGAATCAGAAGATTAAGAAAGAAAGAAAAAAAGACTATAATAAAACAACGAAATGCATTTTGGAGTTTAATAAAATTTGTATGCTGCCCACTCCCATTGGGACTCTGGGCGGCTCACAACAAGACAAAAGAAACATTTAAAATTTTGAAATAAATGTATAAAAAGCAAGCAAAACAAAAATTACTCTTCATTATGATTATTTTGGACTTTCTCCAGCGTCAATAGTCAGCTGGGCCATATGTAGAAAGTGAATATATATCTTCAATCTAATGCTTTCGATCAGTTGTAGCAGAAACTTTTCATCAGAAGTAAAACCACTATTACATACTATGCATGATAAATCCTACCACTTTTTTGGTATATAATTTAATAATAGATTAATGTGCTTTGTCCTTATTTTTATTCCCAGTAACTAACTGCCGTCATTATAAAAATGAACCCCAAACTGCGGCTGTAGAATAAATCTAAGATAATGAGTTGACATTTGCTTAGATATATTACATTCCAACATTCAAGTGACTGAAATCCATCTGTTGCTACATATCCTCTGGGGTAGAGAAAATATGAAAAACATTATTTTGTTGAATTAATTTTTTTTAAAAAAATGTTATTCCATCAAATTTTTCCAAACAGGATATTCTAGGTTTTTTTTTACTATAAGTTTCCTACAGATGTTCCCTTTCTTAGCTTACTAAAACTTAATAATACTTTCCAAAATGCACGTAAAAATTAAATGTAGATTTAATTAATTTAACATCTTTTCCAATAATATATTTTATAGTCATATCGGGGTGTGTGTGTTGACCATGCACTGGGTCCAAATTGTAAAGACATGAAAGACGTTTTAATTGAGCATATTGCTATTCAGCAATTCTTGGCAATCCAAGTTCCTTTTACAACATATAATGTAAAAATACCAATTAATACTTTTATTTTTTCCACAAACGCGCTTCAGAAGAAGATGTATTAGCAATTTTCTGGTTGGGATTATCCCACAGTATCAATTTTTCATGAGAATTGGGATTGAATTAAATTTTTCCTCATCAGCTCATTGTGTTTGGAATTTATTGGATTCCTGAAAGAATGTACTTGAAAGGATGGGCATCACTTTTTCTTTGATGGAATAGTAATAAATTTGAGTTATTAACTCATATTGTGATTTTATTGTGCTTATTAACTCATACTGGAAGAGGATCACTGTAACATTTGAATTTTTTTCTAATGTATATAAATTGATGGGAAAATATTTAAATGTTGGAAATATCTACAGGAAAAAAATTATATGTTAAAGATGTTGATGTGATGCTGAATTATATACCAAAGTTTTGCAATGTGACTGCCTCTCAAAAATTGTACCTGCATTGAACATGGGGAATGGATAAAAAATTACATTGGGAAACATTATTCCAGATGTTAACGGATTTTTTTTTTTAAGTGCCTTATCCATCTTGGAAAAGGCAATATTTTCTACTAATCAAAGAATACAAATTGCAACTTTGGCAAAGATTTTATGATACTTGGTACTTTTAATCTATATAAGAATCTGCTAAAACAACAATATTCCATTGAAAACCTGACATTAGATATTGGCAAGAGTTGAAGTCGATTACAAAAGATAAAAACTGAAAAAATGGGATCCTCTTTATATTTTCCAACTTATTCAGTTTCCACTTTTGCTAGCAATAGTTAATTTATGTGAAACATTTGCAATCTTATTTTGGACTATATTTCCCATAATTTTCCATCAGGAACTATTTAAGAAAAGCTCCTTATGGTTATTAACTTACATGATCGAAACACCTATTAACATATAAACAAAATGTACAGGAAGTCCTTGACTTAGAACAGTTTATTTAGTGGCTACTCAAAATTACAACAGCTTTGAAAAACATGACAATATTACTATATTTCACACATACGACTATTCATCCCCGTGCTCATGTGATAAATATTCAGATGCAGTTGCAGTATCTTAGAATCATGTGATTACCTTTTACAACCTTCTGACAAGCAAAGTTAATGAGGAAGCCAGCTTCACTTAATAACCATGTTATGAATTTAATAACTTCAGTGACTCAATTAACAACTGTGACAATACAATATAACATTTGGCCAAATTTAGCATGTCTTACTTAGAAACAGAAATTTGGGCTCAATTGAAGGGCTGTATCTGAAATTGTTGTTATCAGATTAGATGTAATACAGATTTTTTATGACTGTAATAAAGACTGAATTATTTGTTACCAGCAAGGATGAAGCACAAGGTAAAATTAACATGTTACAAAATCAAAAACTTTTTGCGTAACTTTAATTTCTTCTTGAATTTAATGTTATTTGTCATGTAGTCTATTGGAAATGAATAAGAGTGGCTGCCTATAAATGGATAATCTCCTTAATACACAAATGGTTAACATATTGTTTTGTCCATATGGTTTTCTTGGTAAAATACAGAAATAATTTACTACGGATAGTAATAGCAGTAGACTTATATACCGCTTCTCAAAATTACAACAGCTTTGAAAAACATGACAATATTACTATATTTCACACATACGACTATTCATCCCCGTCCTCAACTTATGAACACAACTAAGACCATAATTTCCATTGCTAAGTAAGATAATTGTTAATTGAGTTGCACTGAATTTTATAACCTTTTTTGCCTCATCTCTTCAGTGAGTCATCCTCTTGTTAAGTGAATCCAGCTTCCTTATTTGGTTGTTGGAAGCCAGCAGGGAAGGTCACAAATAGTGATCATGTGATTCCAGGACATGCAAATACCATAAATACATGCCAATGGCTAAGTGCCTACATTTTTATCATGTGATTATGCAAATGTTTACCTAATTGTAGTGAGAGGATGATTATAAGGCACCTTTTTCAATAGTTTTGTAATTTAAAACAATCACTAACTGAATGGTTGGAAGTCAAGGCTACTTGTATTGCCTTCTTCTCTATAGTATGATAGTACAGTTTGCCATTGTCTCTGAAGTAATTGACCTTTGGCATTCTCCAGCATCACTTTCGCAATATAAATGTATTTTTGCTTTAGCTGGGCAACTGGGATGATCTTCATACCTTAAGTTAGTGGTTCTCAATCTTTTCTTCACTACGGACCCTGTTTAAATATATTTTGTTGCCCCCAAGACTTAACTTAATATTTAAATCATTATATTTTTTCAAGCCTTCACATATCCCTTGTGATGACATCCCCTATAGGGTCTGTGGACCATAGGTTGAGGACTATTGCCTTAAGTGATCTTGCTTGTGATATACTTTCCTGGCATACAATCCTGATGTTCTCTGTTCATCCTTCCTAGGATATGACTCCCATCCCTATCCTGATCAGCAGCACAGCAGGACTTGGTGGATAGGTGAGAGATTGAAGATATATTTCTTCACATTTCCATGAATACACACCTTGATTGCTAGATGAAGAACCAAATAATTGGACTAATTATTGCCACAGGGCAATAATTTTCCATATCACTTCACAATCTGTTCATACTAATCTTTCATAGTTCTCTCAACTTGCTGCTTCTAGAAAGGTAGGATTGGGAGGGCATTTCACTATTTTATCTGATGGGTATTTCTGGTGCAAGGTACTGACTATAATGAACTAATTTCACACAGTTCAAGTAACCTGGTTAAAATAATTGTTTAAACTAACTGATTTAATTGTAATTATTTTATTGGTTATTAAATGCCATCAGGTTGTTTTCTACTCTTAGAGACAGACAGATCTGAAACAAGAAGCATTATAAACATATTTGAAATAAAGAGGTAAAACTGTAAGGCTAAAGCAGTTTATAATGCTATTATAGTTCAGCTTATCTATGCCATAATGACAGGCTATAAATTTGGAGAGCTCCTGACCCGTTGAAAGGTCTTTTGTTGAATTCTCTCATTTTGGTTCAAGGCTCATTATTTATATCGGCTGTCTCTCTCTTTTTTTTCCCTCCACCTAACCATACTGTCTTAATTTATACATTCATGTTTCTGTCTTTAGCTGTTCACCTTTTACTTCTTTATTGCACTTTACTGCACTTGAATCATCTTAGCAGTGTGCAGTAGTAGTATGCAGACAACTGTCTTAATATTAGCCAGGCAACAGATTCCTTTTCTGCTGACACATAGATTTGGGGTGGTTGTTTTTTTGCAATCCCTTTGCTGAAATGTACTATTTCCAAATGACCTCTCTATTTTTTTGGTGGAGGAGACCTGATTTGACCATTTTTGTAAGCATTTGTACTCTCTGTGCAAAATGTTTTACAGATTATTCTGAAATGATGTCAACATTCAAGAAGATATAATCTTAGGTTTATATTTTGGATCAGATGATTTGTTCCCTATGCCCTTTCTTTATGTATGGGTGTGTTTATGTGTGTGTTGTCTGTGAAAAGGGAAATGCATAAGTGAATAATAGTTGGTTCTGAAAATAGGTTTGGCAGAATTCCGACTGATTTAGTAATTAATTATAATAAATATTATTAGTATTGCTGTGTGTGTGTGTGTGTGTGTGTGTGTGTGTGTGTCTACACAGTGCTCACACCTGCAGATTTTGGGTTCTCTGGCACACTATCACGTGTAAAAGCAACCAACAAAAAGACTTATGTACATATTCAGTAAGCAGTATTAAATCTAAGCATAGTTTGCTTCTCAATGTATCATGAATAAACCCTTGTTTAAAAGAGGTATCGTGGATTGCCTATGGATTCCCTCCTACACAGGACAGATGTTTATTTATGATGTCAGCAGGCCACAGATGTCAGCAATGTCAAGATTATTCTGCCAGTAAATAAGTAATAAAGCAAAGATCATTTAAAATAAAACTGGCAAGTGTCAGCAGTAAGTTTGGCTGTAGTCATGGCTGCTGCCAAGAATGTTATATGTTGATGATACTGGACCTAAGTGGAGAGAAGCGAAGGGAGACAATAATTATGTTGTGTAAAATGGATATGATTACATATTCTGGAAGATAATCTTATTCTAACAGATAGCATTGATTTATAGGAGAGTTGGCAGAGAAAGAAAAAACAAAGTAGACCTATTGCTGGTAAAGAAAAGCTTTATCATGTTGGACTACGTAGGTCACTTGTTGAGCAACATTAAAATATTTTGTTCATTATGGGGATTTATTGAGTTTGGTTTTCCATAAGATTTTTAGCATGTAATTATAGTGTTTATAAGACAATGAAGAAGGTTTAAAATAATAAAAAGCTGTGGAGGCTGCTGTGGTCTGACAAAGACAAATAGTGGCTTTCTGTGTATACTATACATTTAACCTGTCAGCAAGCACAGAATTTTTTTCCAGGTAACATGGAAAAGGATGCATTTAGTAACTATCAAATAAAACATTTCCATTCTCTGTTTTTGAAGGTAACCACTTAAGTTAAAATGCTACTTTATTAAATTATAAATTAAACTACACTGCCTGCTGAAAATAGTTGCAGTTGGCTTCTGTTGTAATCTGAGTCATTATAATGCTAAGTTAAAGGTTTTTAGAACATAATGAAATTCACACTTAACATTCTTCATGCAGTTGCCATGGCCAATTCACTTGAAAATGAGAATTATAGAGAGAGCATTTCCTGGTCTTTGACCTCTTCTGAAGAAGTTTAAAAAGCAGGTTTTATCAGAGCACTAAACTCCTTCTCAAGCAAGCCTATGAGTCATATTAACTGTCTGAAAACACTTCAATTGAAAAGTATTCAAACACATCTTAACACTAAGTCTAAAAAGTGATCATTTACCGTGGAGGACTTTAGCACTTTGGAATTCTAGCATGTCAGACAAAAAGGATGCCAATATTACTGTAGTCTGTTTAATTAAATAGTTTTAATTAAACTGCATACACTAAATGAAATAAAATTAAATTTAAAAGATTATTTCTTAAATTAAGCCTAAGCTTTGAATAATAGCATAGAATAAATTTTACATTTCATTTACTTGACCTGGATTTTTGTATTGTATAAAATGGTGTTTACTTCTTTGGTGGCTATCAGGTTTTCTCTGAAGAAAAAAATGAGGTTTCTTAAATAATTCCTAGATCTCTCTTCAGATTGTGAGCACATTGTAATAATATCAAAAGGAGCAATTCTGCTGAAGTATAGAATTTCATTCTGGTTTCAACTAAGATAGTAGTAACTTTATGGCTCTAATCCCAATATTTATGCACGTAGGAATAAATTTAGTTTATTTCAACCATAAGATCCAAACACCTGCTAAGTTCATAATATGGCATTCTATGATCCTACCCATTATAGTTAATAAAGTATAGCATATGAAAGTATGTGATGCATCTCATACCCATTTGCAGTATATTAAAGAAAAGATGGTGGATTTACAAAAAATTGACACTTCAAGTAAAAAAACACATGATGAAGGCATAGGTTTTACTGAAATCATTACCTTATTAGTATTTATATTTCTAATATATTCAGATAATTTTAATAACTATATAGCTGGAGAAATTGCTATGAAAGTTTGCTCATGTTAATTGCAGTATCTATGTTTTGTTCAAAACTATTGTTTTTTTAGGATAAGGATATATAACTAGATTATATCATTATCATCATCATCATCTCCACTGCCTTTATTTTCTCAAAAGGAAAATAATGACATTGTTTTCATTATATGAATCAAACGATTACTGTAAAACTGCAAAATATAGAATTCGTCTCAAGTCATTTCTATACATCGATATTGTTTCCAAAACATAATGGCAAAATAGAAATGCAACCTTAGAAGTATAATACAGATGTAGCATTATGTGGATAAAAGTGTTGTGATATGTGTTTTCTCTGCTTAATCATGCTGAAAGCAAAATTACATGGACAGAAGTGATGGAACAATAGCCCTCTTCAGAATATAGATGATGTGAGATTTTCAAACTGAAATGAAATAAAGGGCTTCTCACATTGACATCCCCTATAAACTTCACAATTCAAAAGGTTTGGGGCCATGTGATTTATAATCTTGGAAATATTACAAGTTGAGGCCCATTTTTTGTTGTGGAAATATATGGAGATGTTTCGATGGAAGTACTTCATGGATTACCTGTCCATGTATGGCTATAGTGCAACATAATATCAGGCACATTTAAGGTAGGGAATTCCAGTATTCTAGTCATAATATAAATCGAGTAGTCTCCAGAGGTGGGCTTCAGCCAGTTTGGACCAGTTCAGGTGAACCAATTGTTAAGATTTTGCATAGTTCGGAGAACTGGCTAATTGCACCATTTGCTGGCCATGCCCACCCCATCCTACCCTATCTCACTTCGCCCGCCTTGGCCGATATTTAGAGTTATACCCGTGCCCAGATACTCTCATTGATATCAAGGAGATCGATTTCCAACCTGATCATCTCTCATTTGACAATATCTAATTTATCCTGACTCATTCCTCCGACATTCCATGTGGCCATCCAATATATCTCTCTTACAACATAGACATTTCCTTAACAGCACTGGTTGCCTCAGTTGTTGTTCTATCATTAAGCACCCTATCTAACACATTTGTAATCCTTTCCATAGAATTTTCTTGGTAAGTTTTTTTGCAGAATAGGTTGCCAGGTCTTTCTCTAACCTTATAACTCACTTTTTAACAGCTGCCCAGGGACAGCAATTGCCACAGTGCTTGTTAACCTTGGTGATGATCAGATATGGGATTATTTTTCTGTTCTCTCATCATGGTTAATGGTTTTGTGAATACTCTTAGTTTGGTTCCTCAGTTGGGACCTATCTAATTTGGGTGACCCTTCTAGTATACTTTCTGCTGGTATACCTCCAGCATAGTTTTCAACCATAACAGAATACACAAGCCCTTCCCCAGCGAGAAGGGGTATCCACCTGTAGAAGAATAAATTACCAATTCCAACTATATCCCAAGTTCACCTATTTTTGTAAATATTTTTTAAAAATAAAAGCTAAGTTTTTAATGCTGACCAAGTCTGCTCAAAAATTATCTCCAAAGAGATAGCTAATGTGATTTTCTGATTAATCAGATATGTAATTTTGTGTAAAATGACTAAATCACACATCTCAAATCCAATCTTTTATGTCTGGAATTACAGTATTTTCTCCTTTCCTAAAAATTATTTTTTGTGAATATGTTAAATGGTTGTTGATATATAATTCAATACAATGTACATGCACAAACATTCAGAGTTAGGCATACTGTGGTGATTAGGGGAGTAGGCGCTATAGTTTTATAATGAGGAATAAAGACACTATCAGTAATAGAATTTCTCCAAACAAGTTATAATTTCAGCCTTCCAGCTCTCTCCTCTCTCAAATTATCATGTTGTTCTCAGGAGATTCTTGAACAATACTGAGTGTGAATTCCTTTCATTCATCTTCTAATCGTTAGACACA